CCAGAGCTGAGAATAGAACCCAGGAGTCCTGAATCCCAGCTCCCCCCACAACCCACTGGACCCCATTCCCCTCCCAGAGCTGAGAATAGAACCCAGGAGTCCTGAATCCCAGCTCCCCCCACAACCCACTGGACCCCATTCCCCTCCCAGAGCTGAGAATAGAACCCAGGAGTCCTGACTGCCAGTGACTTCCCCACTTCATGCCTCAGTTTCCCCATCGTAAAATGGGCACAATGAGCTTTGCAAGGTGCTTTGGGATCTTCTGGCGAAAGCCCTGACGAAGAGCGCACAGTATTTACAAAAACCCGAATAATCAACGTAACGCTCCCGGGATGGTAAGGTTCCCCGAGGCACCGTGAGTCTGTTCTATGGGGGAGGCACACACCCCAGAGGGGGTCTGCCGAGCTACCATGAATAATATTAGCATCTCATCAGGGATAGCCCACAGTGACAGCACATCTTGCTGCCCTTATACTCAGGGGCCAGAATGGATCCAAGGCAGCTGGGAATGACCCACAGCCCCTCCAGATCCCGCCCACCGGCCAGCACAGCGCTTTGGGGTGGGGTGGGGGACTTGGGAGGAGCGAGAGGATCGGAGCTGGGTGTGGCAGCTGCCCCCAGGGCCAGGCTGACCTGTAATCCTCCCGGGTGGCGATCAGGCTGGACACGTTCCTCAGGATGCCGCCTCCGCTCTCAATGATGGCCAGCGAGTTGCTCTGGCACTTGTAGGTGAGGGTGCTCACCAGGAAGCCCAGGGCGCCCTGCACCAGGCAGATGGCGGCTTTGTTCTCGGTGCTGTGAGCGGACAGGTTCCACAGGGCGCTGAGGACACTCTTCAGGGTGGATTCCTAGCCAGGATAAAATCACCGTCAGCGTCCCTCTAGTGACAGGGCCTCTTCATATCTGTGAGTGTGTCGGCTTTGCACGTACACCCGCCGCCGTTTGCACACTCACCGTAAGCATGCTCACTCCGTGCATGCCACGGCAACATTTGCACCTCCAGCTCACTGTACACATGCGTGCCATCCCCTATGTACACGCTTATAGTGAGCGTGCAAGGCATCAGCTGCTCTGTGCGTGCAAGGGCAGCCTTTGCACATGCAGCGCATTGTGAGCACGTAAGCTGTCCCCCGTTTTGTGTGTGCGCCAACGCAGGGTTTGCACCCGCAGCCCAGAGATCAGGGCTCGCGCC